CCGGTGAAGAGCCTTCGATGCTTAAGTCAGTATGTGTATGAGTATACTGAAGTGAATAACGAGAAAATCGTGTTAAGTGAGAAAGGCTCACCCCCTTTATATAGGGGTGAGATATCTGCCCTAATAGCTACCCGAATAAGGATGAGTTGGTTGCCCAAGCTGCCCGTCCGTACTCTGACACGCCGCGCACATGTCAGAGGTGGCGCGGGGCGTTGGGAGCTGTCAGAGGTGGTTACCGCTATCACCCAATACATTCTCGACACGTGTCCTCATGCACATGGGGTAAATATTCTCCTGGAATTCGGTTGGAGGCTCTTACACGCGTCTGTGACTAGGCCGATCTGTTGAGTGTTGAGTCCGCGAGATGCTCGACCTACTGAGGTCGATAAGGTTGCTCAATCGTTTGTTTGGTCGAGCGATGGATTGGTCGACTGTTTGACTGGTTGACAAGTTATTTTGCTCGATCTTCTCATTGCCTGGCTCGATTCCTACATGGTATGACCCCCCAAACCGGTTCAGCAGACCGATTTATTTTGGAGTATATAATATCCTATATCATATATGATATAACTACTTGAAATATGAATATATTAATTTATAAATAATTTTATTGTCTAATTAATATTTAAAAATAATTTTATTATTGTTATAAAGATTAATATAATTGATGTTATACATACAATATGGATGTTAATCGAAGCACATTAAGAAGTGATTAATTTGATATATTATATATGTAAAACTAATAAAACATACAAAAATTATTAACTTTTAAAATACATTTACAAATCAAAGATTATAATAGTAAAAGGTATTGAAATACAATTTAATATATGTAACATACATTTATACATAATATATATATATATATATACATATTACAAAAAAAAATTACAGGGGCCCGTGCCCCTACGGGCCCCTGTGTAAATCCGCCAATGGCTAAGGTGTATGATAGGGTTGAGTGGTCGTATCTCAGGGAGGCACTGGTCTGGATGGGCTTCCCAGAGCGGTGTGTCATTTTTGTGGAAGCGTGTGTGGAGCATTGCACGTTCTCGGTTTTGGTTAGTGGCAGCCCCCACTGACTTCTTCTCTTCTTCTCGGATGCTCCGATAGGAGGACCCCCTCTCTCCCTCATTTTTTGTTTTGGCGGCGAACTACCTCTCTCGCTGCCTTGACGTGGGTGAGATGTGCATTTTCAGGAATTTTACGTTCATATTACTCTTGAGAGTTCATCTTCTACACGTACGTATTTAAGCATCGAAGGCTCTTCACCGAAAAACCCTTCCGGTGTAAGAGTTTTGCATGTATGAAGTGTTGTACCGGCGAGGAAGCACGAGGACGAACTGACTTCCAGCCGGTCGAGGTCTTTTTTGTACCAGCCTCTTTGTCTAGTTTGAGTTTGTGCTTCAGAGCTGTAAACTGAAGGTCTCGGTATTCATGTATTTACCTTTAATTTATTCAAGAAAATGTGTTGTTTGAGGTGACATGATGTGTGGTTCTCCCAGTGGTACTTTTTAGTGTTGGTTTACGGCTAGTTAGCCCCCTAACGTGCAAACTCTTTTATGTTAGGGCATCCTCATCTATTTCCGTTCATTTAGTCACAATTTACTCTCT